AAGTTAGGTTAGTTTAGCGTTAGGATAATTAATCTTAAAGTAAAATAATCAGGTGTGTCTAATCATCAAGTGAGTTAATTATTGTCTTTTCTCTAAACCAAAACCAAAAAACCCAGAAAAACAAAAACATCAAATCATAAAAAACTCGTTCGTTCGTTCGTTCGTTCGTTCGTTCGTTCGTTCCTTCCTTCCTTCCTTCCTTCCTTCCTTCCTTCCTTCCTTCCCTCCTTCCTTCCTTCCTTCCTTCACATCCATTATTCATCCATCCATGACTCTTAAGCGCCTCTCCCTCAAGCACTTCTTCACATCCATTAAACGTTACACACACACACACACACACACACACACACACACACACACACACGAGGAGAGCCAATGAGGTAGGAAATAATTCAATAGTTTTATCAGTGGAAGTCCAATGGTTGGCTGGTCACGACCTCTTGTGGGTGTGGGGGGGTTGAGGGTGTGGGGGTGGGGGAGTTAGGATCACCTCACCTTACTCATTGTGGTCACCTGTGGAGGGAGGGAGGTGGAGGAGGAGTTTCGTGATGACAACTGAGGGTCTGATCGTTATCTTCCCGCACTGTTGTTAGTTGATGTTGTGTTAATGAGTTTACCTGTGTCAATTACCTGGGTATTTAATTATGGTTCACTAGATAGATAGGCAGATAGACAGACAGACAGACAGATAGACAGACAGACAGACAGACAGACAGACAGACAGACAGACAGACAGATAGATAGATAGATAAATAGATAGATAGATAGATAGATAGACAGATAGATAAACAGACAGACAGACAGACAGACAGAGATAACTGTAGATCATCTTTTTAAAACCTTTGTAGTCTTGTATTCCATCCAGTTGAAATAATAAACCTCTATAATGCTCTTTGTATAATACCACGTAATTATACACCATAAGAGTATTATTTTACTGAATTATGTATAATACTCATTACAGTATCACATAATATACACGATTCATCATTATAATAAGAGCTATATTATACCCCTATTCTATCAGTTAAAATGTACTAAAGCATTATAGTGATACAATAGCAAGCATAATACTCTATACAGATACGTTAAACAATAAATAAAATATATTAAAAAAGTATTATAAGCAAAAGCATTATAGTACAGCACCAATGATATTGTTTTGATCGGATAAAACATAAAAAATATTATTGAATTTTAAATATCTCTGAAACCCGGGAATATGTGAAAGAGAAATAAAAGATTAAAAACCACAAAAGACCTGTTGCTATTGTGTATGAATGAGAGAGTGAAAACAGCTTAAAAAAGACCCCAAAAAGTCCTACAAAAAAAGGACCTCTTGTTATTGAAATATATCCATTACTTTTATAACATAACACGGATAGGTAAATTATTTTTAGTCATAGACGCTAATGATAAATACACGTAGAGGAAACAAGAGTAAATATTAGACAATCAATGACTATGTCGTTTTTGGGGGGGCTGGGGGGTTCTTTTCATATGTGGGGAGGGGTATTTAATGGCCATTCCTATCTCATCCCCCTCCCCATCACCTCTCATCACCCTATCTTTTTTTTTTTTTTTTTTTTACCCCCCTATCTAACCTCCCTATCACCCTTTCCTCCCCTCCCCTAACCTTCTAACCTCCTATCTCTTCTCCTCCCCATACCATCTCCTATCCCTAACTCCCCATCCCTCTCCCTCCATCCTAATCCCCATCTCCTCCCCTATCACCACTCCCCCCCCTTTCTACTTCATCCCTAATCTCCCCTATCACCTAACCTTCCCCTATCACCTAACCTCCCCCATCACCTAACCTCCCCTATCACCCCTAACCTCCCCTATCACCCTAACCTCCCCCTATCACCCTAACATCTTTTATCACTAACTTCTATCACTAACCTCCCTATCACCCTACCTCTCTTCCTATCACCCTAACCTCCCCCCTATCACCCTAACCTCCCCCCTATCACCATCTCCGTATCGCCTCGGTCTGGTGCACACAGTAGCGAAGAGATATTTACCTGAGTCCCAATGATGATGTTATTGTGTACGTGTGTGTGTGTGTGTGTGTGTGTGCGTAAAGTAGTCCCTGTCTCTCTGTACGTCATTCTCTCCCTGTTTCTTTATCTACCTGTCTACCTGTCTATCTGTCTACCTGTCTATCTGTCTACCTGTCTACCTGTCTACCTGTCTCCCCCACCAATCATAAAACACCTAAATAAATCTCTTAACTCTACCCCTCAAAAAAAAATAATTCTCAAATGTTCTTTAGTTATTTGTTAAGAAGTAGAACTGTTCTTTTGATTCAGTAGTTAGAAGGAGATTACACAGAACACAGAACACCTTCAGTAACTCCCCCTGCGAGTGTGTGTGTGTGTGTGTGTGTGTGTGTGTGTGTCCTGATAACATTGGGGCTGACTCTTCCTTTCAAGCCGTGAGAAAGCGTCAAAGAATATATCCTATGTTATCCTCTTTGTTTCAATAGGATTACACACACACACGTTTAATGCCATTTGCTTCGAAAGGCTTCAATCTAGAGGGCTTCTTTCTTTCTTTCTTTCTTTCTTTCTTTCTTTCTTTCTTTCTTTCTTTCTTTCTTTCTTTCTTTCTTTCTTTCTCTCTCTTTTATTTTTTTATCCCCTTCACGTGTACACAGAGTGGCTCAGAGTGTTGGAGTTTGAGTCTTCGTACCATGTTTTTTTAGGGGAGGGCTTGCAGGGGAGGTGGGGTGGAAAGAGTGGAGTGGGGCTTCGTTGTTAATCTGATGATGTTTCATAGGTTTTATGCCATCTGAAGTTCAAAGGTTTAACTTCTTCTTGCTCTAAACACACACACACACACACACACACACACACACACACACACACACACACACACACACACACACACAGGTTCCATATATTTAGTGTTTTTTAAAAGAGGCCATAGTCTTGCCTGGCACCTCACTCGGGGGGGAGGAGGGACCTCTCAATTAATCCCTGCACGATGTCAGGAGTCAGCAAATTGCTTCAACTCTTCCCCCTCTCTCTCTCTCTCTCTCTCTCTCTCTCTCTCTCTCCCTCCTCCTGTTGTGTGTGTGTGTGTATGTGTTCAGTCACCTCTCATAATTATAGTATATCACCTGTCATAGTGCCACTCCTACCTGTCATATAGTGCCACTCCTATCCTGTCATATAGTGCCACTCCCACCTGTCATAGAGTGCCACCTCTCACCTGTCGTGCCCACAGTGCCAAGTGCCGCCATCACGGGGACGAGAGAGATGTTTATGAAGGCCGGAAGTGACATCAACATCACCTGTATCGTCAAGGGAGCCATAAGAGGCGCGCCCGTTACCTGGTACCACGTCCTGCCACGCCCTCCCTGTGAGTACCCACGCCCTCTGTCTCAATACCCACGCCCTTCACATAAGTACCCACACCCATCAAAAGAGTACCCCACATGCCTCTGTCTGCATATCCACGCCCACTACATGAAAACCCACACGCCCACCACACAAGTACCCACACGCCCACCACACAAGTACCCACACCCACCACACAAGTACCCACACCCACTACCCACACCCCCCATACCTAACCAGAGCCTCACGGTAGCTTTCCACCTCGTCAACCAAGTATACCAGAAATGTTGACACAGGTACTGGATGTTTACCTACTAGCTCAATAGCGTACTAGGTAATGAAAAGGTAAGTCCTATTTTTACCTTAATTAGAAGCTATTGAAGGTGGATGAATTTTTATTTGCTATTTTTTGTCGAGTTTCTTAGGGAGAGATATTAGTTTAATCTACTTTTTTCTACGTCTATTTAACCCTTGTCTACTTTTTTCTACGTCTACTTAACCCTTGTCTACTTTTTCTACGTCTACTTAACTCTTGTCTACTTTTTTTTGGTTTAGTTTACTTATGTGTTTACTTTCTAGTTTGTTTACCTGTTAGTACTATCACACTTTTATTTATTTACATTATATATCTGTTTACATTCTAGTTAATCTATCTTATTTTTGTTAGTCTTTTCCTTCCTTCTCCCTCTTCCTTTAATCATCACTCTCTCCTCCTCTTCCTACTCTTCCCCCTCCCCCTTCTCCTCTCTTTCTCTTTTCCCTTGCAATTTTTCTCCTCTTTGGGGGATTATTTTGTCAGTTTTCATTCTTCCTTTCTTCCTCCCTTCCTATCCCTTTCCCCCTTCCCTTTACCACTACCCCTCTCCCCTTCCCTCCCTCCCTGTTAAGAAGGGTCGAACAAAACTTGGCATCGTAACTCAGCCTGAGGTGATAGGTCGGTGAGCCACGGGTTCAGGGGGCGGCGAGTGGATGGCGAATGAGTGACGTGAGGGTGGCGAGTGAATGGCGAGAGGTTGGCGAGTAGTGGCGAGTGGGTGGAGAGTTGATAGAAAGTGGAAGGCGATTGGGTGGCGAGTGTATGGCGAGTGAAAGGCGAGTGAATGGCGAGTGGGTATCGAGTGGGTTGGTGAGTGGGTAGAGAGTTGATAGAGAGTGGAAGGCGAGTAAATGGCGAGTAGGTGGTGAGTGATATGGCGAGTAGATGGTGAGTGAATGGTGAATGAGAGTCAAGTGAATGGTGATTATATAACCTAGTGAGTGGCGAGTAAATGGCGAGTGGAAGACGAATGTATAACTTACCTATAACTAACTTATCCTTACCTTGCCCATAACTCACCTATAACCTCCCCACCCTTATACCTTATACTTACATAGCTATAGGTGTTATATTCAGCTCATATACCTTTATAGGCATCAACCTATATCATATTGAAATAGTTAACGCTTGTCTCTCGTCCAATTTCACCTGTCAACGTTAATTACTACCTGAGTCATTAACCTGTCATCACCTGTGTTACCTGTCATTACCTGTGTTACCTGTCATTACCTGTTATGTTACCACCTGTTCTGTTGCCACTGTTGCCATCTGTTTCCTGTTACTATCTGTTTTATGCCTTCAACTGTTCTCTTAACCACCTGTTTAAGCAGATGGTCTCACTAATCACTTATTACCACCACCTGTCTGCCGCAGATACGGAAGAAGAGGTGGAAGAGATCAATGCAGGTGGACGTGGAGGCGTGCAGGTGGTGACGGACAAACACGCCGGTACCAGCTGGCTCCTGGTCACCCACGCCACCTGGAGGGACGCCGGGAACTACACCTGCGCGCCCGTACACGCCACCCCCGCCACTGTTTCCGTACATGTGTTGGATGGTGAGTGGTTGAGGCGTGGGGGTGTAGGCGTGTATGTCAATGTAGGCGTGTGGGTGTAGGCGTGTATGGAGATGTATGTGTGTTTTTGTGTATATTGACGGAGTGTTTATGTAAGTGTATGTGTAAGTGTGTCCGTAGGTGTGGAAGTGTCTCTGTATATGTGTTACCACCTTTATTACAACTCGACATTAAGAAAAACCACCACACACACACACACACACACACACACACACACACACACACACACGAGGCAACAATCCAGTAAGTTATGTGAAACAATCAGTGGTTGGATTATATTCGGCTGAGGCGGCTGTCTAGGCTTGCCACCCACAGCCGAGGACGTCACAGCCTAGGGACGCCACAGACTAGGGACGTCATAGCCTAGGGTCACCACAGACTAGGGACGGCATAGATTAGGGACGCCACAGTCTAGGGACACCACAGACTAGGGACTCCACAGCCTAGGGACGTCACAGAGAGTCCCAACAGACGAAGGAAGGCACAGCGACAGAGGCTATACTGATGGACGTCATTAGTGAGAAATGTTGGTGTCCTCGGCGAGCAAGAGACCCCACAGCCGGTCCTCAGCAGCCAAAAGGACACCTCAACCAGTCCTCAGCAACCATTAGGACACCTCAACCAGTCCTCAGCAACCATAAGAACACCCCAACCAGTCCTCAGCAACCATAAGAACACCCCAACCAGTCCTCAGCAACCATTAGGACACCTCAATCAGCCCTCAGCAACCATTAGGACACCACAAAAGATCCTCACCCCCCCAACAAGTCCTCAGCATCACGCGAGGACCACTAGTGAGTAAGCTTCCAGGATCAGTACACAGGCAGCACGTCTCCCAGCCTGGAATATCCCTGGAAGGCCTGGAATGAGAGCCATAAGCACTAGAGACCTCGGCAGCACCACTTGTGAGATGAAGTCAGAGGAGGTCGGCACTCATGAGGTTGTCCTGTCTGGCTCTAAAAATACTCTTATTGTTTTTATCGTATTTATATGTAGAAATGTGTGTGTGTGTGTGTGTGTAGGTTGAATGTGTAGTGGTGGTGAATGATGAGTGTATTTGGTGGTAGCGATGATTGTGGTGGTAGATGGTACACTACACTACACTACACTACACTGTACTGGTAAAAACTCTGTAACATTCAACGCCACAATATCCTGGCCACTGGGGTCTGATAAACACTAGGTTTGTGACCCTCTGTTCTGTCATCATTTATGCTATACCGCTCACAGGATGAATATGGGATGCACAGTAAACTAGCTTCTGTCAATGGTAAAATTTTAAATCCAATTCTGAACACTACACACTACACACTGCACACTACACACTGCACACTACACACTACACACAATACACTACACACTTCACACTACACACTACACACTACACACTTCACACTACACACTACACACTTCACACTACACACTACACACTACACACTACACACTACATTGTTAATATAACTTACAACTGTGAAATATAAAGAGAAAATAGATTAATAATGAAGAGACTTAGATTGACCCAAAGAGCCTCAGTCCACCATCCAATCAGGTATACATTGGCTAAGTCTCCCCTAAGTCCTTGTTACAAAGCTCAGGTGAACGTGGTCTAATTAAGGTAGAATCTCTATTATTTCACCTTCACTTACGACAATTATTACTTACTTACGACAATTATCCATCTTAAGGACTTTTGTAAAATCTGGATCCAAACAGATTTTATTTTAACAGATTAAGTGAAGATTAGATTCCTGAGTTTAAATCACCTGATTATCATTCTTAATGCTACCTGAAAGTGGGACTGGGGTTAGGTTAGGTTAGCTTAGGTTAGGTTAGGTTAGGTTAGGTTAGGTTTGGTTAGGTTAGGTTAGGTTAGCGCCAGGTAGGGACAAATCCTCACACTATCCTATTTTTCTGTCGTGGATAAAAAAAACGAATTCCCTGTAAGCCTTATCCCTAAATTGACCAAATTAAAGGGTAGCTGTACCATCCTCTCGCCCTGTTTAATCTCGACCAAACCACTGCGGAGGCTTAAACGGTCGAGTAATTACAAGGAAACAAACACACTATTCTAAAAACAAACACACACAAAAACACAAATAAAAACAAACATAAAAAAACCCCGAAGATATATAAACAAATTCATACAGAGAAATAAACAAAAAAAATAAATAACAAAACAAATATAAAAACAAACAAAAACAAACACAAAACAAAGACAAAAACAAACACATACAAAGACAAAAGCAAACACACAAAACAAACACATACAAAGACAAAAACAAACACAAAACAAACACATACAAAGACAAAACAAACATTGAAATAAACAACAAAATAATCAACAGAAAACTATAAAAACAAAAAACAAACACAAAACAAACAAAAAACAAACAAACCACAATCCTCCACACAACCTATTACTACCGACTAATGAATGACTTTTTTTTTACCTTTAAAGATCTACGCTAATTAGTTGAGCAGGTAAACCCGTTGATACACCTGTTCAGATTACAAACTTATAATATAAATAATAGCGTTTAATTACTGACAGAGACTGAACGTGTATTATTCTGGGTCATATGATAAAAGGGTCATGTCTTGCGTCCATAGTTGGTTGTGGGATATTTTGGTTGACTCTGTGTAGGGGTGTGGTAGGGTGTTGGGGGGTGGGTGGGGGGAGGTGTTGAGGGGGTGGGGTGAGTGGGAGAGATGGGGGAGGGGAGGTGGTGAGGAGGGTGTGTTGGGTGGGGGTGTTGAGGAGTGTGTGTGTGTGTGTGTGTGTGTGTGTGTGTAATGAAGGCGTTTAGAGTGTATACACGTAGCCAAAAATAAGTTCCAGACCACCAACTACGAACCCCTGAAGTGTGATCCCTTAAACCCGGTCACAGGTCCTTAGTGAACCCAAGTGCCAGACGGGCGGGGACCTAGAAGCGACCTCATTAAACTGCGCTTAACTCTTGTAGACAACACCTGAAGTTTCCACCACACACTGATCCCACAACCTAATTACCGACCAATTAGGTGTCAGCTGCTGCCTCCTGTACCACCACTACACTGTATCTGGATCCCCCTTCCTCTCCCTCCTGAAGGAGCCTCTCAGTAGGACCCCTCCCCTTTAGGACCCCCACTTCTGAAGGACCCCCCTGATAGGACCTCTTCTGAAGGATCTCCCCCCCCTCCCCCAGTCTGTGCCTCCCTCCTCCTAACATTGGTGAGTCACACATGTCACTTAACCTCCCAGTAACACACCCACACACACTCCTCCGCCTCTACCAACACACTCAGTTAACATATCATCAATAGTTATCACGAACTTTATCTCGGTAGTCTAAACAGTAAAAGACAATTACATAAAAATACCATTAAATATGTCCACTGAGTAACATCTGTACTGATTGTGTGTTTATAAAAGTAGTCAAGATGTTTCACTCACTGATTGTTGTTCCTGTATCTTTTACTTTATCAGCTATCATCTACTTCCTTTCATTAGCGGGGAGGCAGCTGTCGCCCCTTCACACTATCATCTACTAAAATATAGTGCCCTTCATCACAGAGGAGGTGCCCGCTGGACTTCATCACGATCTCCACCCCAGCGAGGGCAGGTCCAGCATCACTTCGCCGCCTTGTTCTACCCTCCTGACGGTGCTCCTGTTGGTCCTGCAGCGTGTGGCGGCCGTCAACGAACACGGACATTGGTGTTCCTTCTGCCTGCTACTGGGGATCACCTCCTGCCTGAGTCTCACTGCTGTGTATACTGCTGCTGGTGAGACGTGGACGGCAGCGCAGGATCTGAGCAGCACCTGGTCCGTGTGGCGCCTCTAGTCGACGGCTGGGTGTGTGTGAGGGTGTCGGGATACTCGTGGTGTGTGTGTGTGACAACCTCGGTGTGGGGACAATAGTCTACTGGACTTCCATCGTTGGAAAATCGTTTATTTTGTATACTTTGTCCACTAGCTGTTATTGTGCGTCCGATATGTCTTTAAAGAAACTTGTATCGTGTTCACAGTTTAGCATCTGTAACCGTGACGGTGACGTACACTGTGCTGGTGACGGCGACGAACGATGACGTGTACGGGGCTGGTGACCACTGACGTTACTTGGAGTCAGCCAATCATCGCCCATCATCTGCTCGTCTCCTCTGTGTATATATATTAGGAGGCCGAAATGTTCATAACCTTCAATAAAATGAACAAAGACGCAGAAATGAACATCCTAGCCTAAAATTACCTTCCTGAACCCTCATTAGTGTATTTCTGTATACCACCGGCCTCCAGCAGCCTCCAGCAACCTCCAGCGGCCTCCAGCGGCCTCCAGCAGCCTCGTCACCGCTTCATAATGGAAACTACGTGTAAACTGTATTCAGCCACAACTCTTTACTTGCATGTTAATAATTATGAGACAGATTGACAGGATCAGATGAACATTTTGAACCTTATGAGGAAGAGTTGAACCTTTTGAACCTCAAGTGAAGCAAGATTAAGTTTTTGAACATTTACGGGAATGATACGAACCTTTTGAACCTTAAGAAGACTAGATGAACCTTTGAATCTTATAACTAATAATTTAACCATTGAACCTTTCCGAGGATAATACGAACCTTTTGAACCCTAAGTAAATGAACCTTATTGAACCCTTGTGTCAGTATGAACCTCCAGTGAGCAAAATACTAGACCGCTTTAACTGTTTTATAATCCATTCCTAAGAAGTTTTAATACAACAACAATAACAATAACAAAAGCAACAAAAACAACAACAACAACATCAACAACAACAAAAACAACAACAGCTGTAATGATGTACTCAAGAAATGCAGCGTTGAGTACATGAATCTAAAAGAGGATATTGAGTACATGTAATTATGTCTTCTCAGATGTACACACTCAGATGAAGACACTCAGGTGATTGACACTCAGACAATAACACACTTGACTCAGCTTCTCGGTTATTGAAGCGTAAACTCAAGACCACATACACGCAGTCTACTAACACACTTAAACCAACGACACACTCAAATCAAGAACACACACACACCAACCAACACACTCCTCTCCAAACACACTCAACACAACAGTACACAACACACTCTGAAATAAACCAACACACTCAGTACACAGGTACATTAAAGTGGATTCCATAGATCTGTTAGGGGCAATGTGGATACAGCATACTGCATACCAAGCATAGATAAGCACAATATGCTGCTGGGTCGACTAGGGGCGCCTCACTCACTGGTAATTGGTGGGACTCGAACGGGGAACTATCGATTCAGAGGCGTGAGAGTTAAACCCACTTTTCTATGTAATTAAGTATCGGAAAAAATTACGACTAAAAAACTGCTGAATCATGATGACAAAGCATAAAAATCATGAGCGAAATAAAATATGTAAATCAAGAAATGCAACAGAAAAAATAAAACTCATATCAAATAAAACTGACAAAGAACAATGTTGAATAATAATAGGCAGTGTTAGATAATAATGACACAGAAAAATAATGATGAATTAAGTGAAAACAGCGAATAATGAACACAGCCAGAGGTAAAGACAGACATGGAAAGGGGTGGGAGGGATGTTGGATGAGAGGATGAGAGGAAGGGAGAGAGGAAGGGAGTGAGGGAGAGAGGGAGAGAGGGAGTGAGGGAGTGAGGGAGGGAGAGAGGGAGAGAGGGAGGGAGGGAGGGAGGGAGGATCATAATACTAATAGCATCCCTGTACTAATTTATGACCTGAGTTGACCTCGTAAAAACAGCCCCACTCATTCCTGATTTACTGTTATAACGTCACTCATTTTTCCCATTAATTAAGGACGTCGATACAAACAACAGTGAATTAATGTACGTGATACGGACGCATGGGTGTTCTTTATGGGTTGATCTGTGTGTGTGTGTGTGTGTGTGTGTGTGTGTGTGTGTGTGTGTTCTATCTAACAGTTCATGTTTGTGCTTATAGTATCAATGGCTGGGGTTCACTGGTAAGGTTCACTAGTGCTGGGTTCACTGGAGTTGGTTTCATCTAGTGGTTGGGTTTATTAGTGCTGGGGTTCACTAGTAAGGTTCACTAATGCTGGGTTCACTGGAGTTGGATTCACTAGTGGTTGGGTTCGCTAGGGGTTGGGTTCACTTTGTGGGTTCACTGGTGTGGGGTTCACTCTCTCTACACAGCACGTATGTATATAAATCTTGTTTAATCTAAAAAATATATAATGATAATTTGATAACAGTTGTCAATAAACTTTTGTATATGAGAACTTTGAAGCCTTTTATTATATACCTTCTTCTTCTTCTTCTTCTTCTCCTTATTTTTATTATTATTATTATTATTATTATTATTATTATTATTATTATTATTATTATTATACCTGGAAGTTGTTTTATTAAATATCCTCAACCAATTTATATTATTATTATCTACAGTTTATATAAATGGAATGTGATTTATATATGTGTTATATAAATAAACCTTAATATAAACACATGTATAATAACAAACAAAGAAAAGAAACAAAGAAGGAGAATTGAAAAGACTAAGACATCTAGAGATAATGTAAAAGAAAGGTGAAAGTGAGGTAATAAAGGAGGAAGAGGAGGAGGAGGAGGAGGGAGGAAGAATAAGGAAGAGTAAGTTGACAGATTAGACAGCGGCCCCGCACCACCACCACCACCACCAAGGGTCATCAAGAGAGAGCAGAGAGAGAGAGAGAGAGAGAGAGAGAGAGAGAGAGAGAGAGAGAGAGAGAGAGAGAGAGAGAGACTGTTTTTCTCTTTTTCGTGAAATTTGAGATAAAATCCTTAAAAAAACTGAACAATGTTTTTCATGCAGTTGAGAAAAAAGTTTGAAAAGATCTTATAAATATTTGTGAAACAGGAAGAGAATGTTTTGAAAAGTTTGGAAATTATTCTACGTAAAAAAAAAAAAAGAAACATTCACAGTTAAATCTGAAGGTGAATGGGACAAAATTTCTTCTTCAAAATACAGAATTTCTTCATAAAACTAAAAAAAAAAAAATTGTTTGGAAGAAAAATGAGGAGATAAGAATGATAGTGTCCGTTTAATGTACAATATTTATTCCTGAAAACCTGTATGTTAACCGGATGACCACTAACCGGATGACCACTAACCGGATGTATACGTTAAGACAGGATTAAGGTGAATGTACGTTAACCGGATGTAAACTACCCGGGTGTACAGTACGTTAAGTGAATGTACAGTAACCGGATGTACGCTAACCGGATAATAACTAAACTATGACCGTTTCTTATACCAGTTAGTTCCCTGTCACACTCAGCACAGTCAGTAATATGTAACAGGCTATTTTACCAGTTACTCGGACCTCCTGTATCCTGTATGGCGCACTAAACAGTTTATATAACGTATTTATTGACGTAGTTTTGTGTGATAATAAATTGTGGTGAGTTATTATCGTATCGTTATTATTGAAACCTGGACAAAATGGTGAACAGTGAACAAAACAACCTTCTCTTTTGTCTCTTATGTCCTTTCCTTTCTTCCATTTCCTCCTCTCACTTCCTTCCACTTCCTTTCTTCCTTCCCTTTTTTCCTCCCTTCTCCATTTTTTCTTTCTCTCTTCTTTCCCTTCCTCCCTCTTTCCCTCCCTCCTTCTCTCCCACTTTCTTCTTCCCCTCTCCTTCCTTCCATCCTCCTATACCCTCCATCAACTCCCTCTCCCTCTCCTACCTCTCTGTGCCCTCCTCCACCATCCCTCTCTCCCTCCTCTCCACCAGAGTCGTCAGATGAGGTGTTAAGGCATCCGGTCCTAGAGACGAGGACCTGCCTGAAGGAGGTGAGGAGAGTGAACGACACGAGCAGGGACAGGCGGGTCAGTGGCACGGCGCCAACCATCGATACATTGGGGTGGATGACGATATCGAGAGGTTGTGGATGATCTGACGTGAGAGGGATGGAGAGTAGAGCTTTGGATGAGACGGCGTGGGGGTTGGATGAGAGGGCGTGGAGTTGGATGAGAGGGCGTGGGGGAGGATGAGAGGGCGTGGGGTTGGATGAGAGGGCGTGAGGTTGGATGAGAGGGCGTGGGGGTGGATGAGAGGGCGTGGGGGTGGATGAGAGGGCGTGGGAGTGGATGAGAGGGCATATTTTTGACTCGCTGGAACCCAAAAACTAATTTTTTTCTCTTGTCTCTGTCACTATTGCCCGCACCTCCTCCTCCTCCTCCTCCTCGTACAAGACCTTCCCCACAGGACACCTTTCACCTCACCTCTCTACTTAACTATATTTATCCAAGACCATTCAGAGGCGAAGGTCCTGATTCGCTGATCTAGGGGTGGTATGGTCCTCTCTGATTGGTCTGGGGGAGATATAATCTCCTCTGATTGGTCTGGGGGATGAATACGGTCTTCTGTTATTGGCCTGGGGGGAGTATAGTCTTCTCTGATTGGTCTAAGGAAAACAAATCCCTCCATCTGTAGCCCAGGAAAAACATCATCCCTCTCTGGCCTATGATAACAAACCTCCACCTCTGGCTCAGGAAAAAAACACCATCCCTCTCTGACCAATTAATAAACACAAGTGCCAGAATAGATAACCAAAGTGCCAATAATATAATCAATAATATATTAACCATATCTTAACCAGGTAAGTCACGGGACAGGTGAGAAGTTACCTTAATTAATCATTACCAATATTACATCAAGACTAATAAGAATCAGTCACTACCATTTTTTTCATTCTGGTTATATACACAAAAAGCTTCATCGGATTCTAATGGCGTCTCAGTTTAATCATTAAGCCATTTTGATAATTTTCTTTACGTTGAAAGTTAAGAGAGGGCGTTAAGTGCTTTGTTGAGTTACAGAGACATTTAACTAACGCACTTGAGTGGGGTTTATAGACCAGGTTCTCCCTCTAAGTGTGTGTGTGTGTGTGTGTGTGTGTGTGTGTGTGTGTGTGACTCGTCTCTGTGTTTATAACTATTTCTCTTCTCTCTCTTCTCTCTCTCTCTCTCTCTCTCTCTCTTTCTCTTGGATATTTGTTTATTTCTCTTCCCATACAACACGCTATTTTGTTCTGATCCACACACACACACACACACACACACACACACACACAAGCTTCCCCTCCCAGCAAAACAGCGTCGTGTCACCTTTAAAAGCGCTGAACTGTTTCTTTAATCAAGTCATTCTCACCTTTATAACCTGCTCAGGTAGCCCGAGAGAAGGTAACACTCCTTTAACTGCCCCATTACCCGAGGTGTACACAGTAGTTAACCATAGTTCCAAGGACCCTCTGAAAACTGACGAGAAAATGTAAATTGGTTCACCTGAGGATTTATAACACCTGAGTTTTGTTTTACCTGATGATTAAACACCTTAGCGTTACCTGAGGGGGGTTAGGTTAGGTTAGGTTAAGGGGTGGAAAGATGGATTAGTGGAGAGAGATAGGGTGGAGAAGGGGTGGTGAAGGGGTGGAGAAGGGGTGGAGAGGGGGAAGAGAGGAGGATGTGGTGGGAGAAGAGAGAGGGTGGATATGGAATGGGTGAGAGAAAGGTAGTGGAGAGGGAAGGAGGACAGAGAGGGAGGGGGAGGAAAGAGGGATGGAGAGGAGGGATGGTGGGGGGTGAAGGGTGGATAGTTCTCTCACTGGATCAAATAGTCAAGTAAGACATTCAAAAGGGAAGGTTAAACTCCGTCACAGTTTCCTGAATAAATAATTAATTCCATCTGTTTACCTTTGGAACACCTCGATGAAGTTTATTGCGTCGTAAAAGCCACCCAGACGAATCCAGGCAACG